GAAAGCGAGGAAAAGAGGGAAAATTCAAACGAACAATTGATTTACGCTGAATTGCCACTATTTGAAAGTGAAAGTAAAATGCGCACGCTGCTTTTACAAGCTATTTAAAAGCGAAGGAAAGCAAGGAAAAGAGGGAACGCCCCAGCGGTGATACCGGTATTACCGGTGTTGTCACACGTCGATTAACCGGTGGGAAAATTTCCTCACCGTCACAACCCTAGCTAGATACCGGGGTGCATCTACCAACCAAGGAAACATGAAAAAGTTTAACCCAGTAACTTTGTTTTGGGAAGCCTTTTTCTGCAAGCGTCTGAAGAAATGAGCGCGTCAGATTTCGCTCCCCTAGTGACGTCACAAAGGGATCTCATTATAATATGACCACCCCTTAATCTGTAAGTTTCCACCCATGGTGCTGTCATTGTGTTTTCGCAAGTGACAACAGTGTACCAATTCTAATGCCATGGTGAAAGTTTGAGCAAAACATGCTAACTGTTCTGTGTTTGGCTGCACAGACGAGCACAGAACACTGTTTAGAGTCCCAGCCTCAGAGGAGACAGAGCAGTGGATTTATTGATTTATTTACTGTAAGATCTAAAATAAACATGCGATTTATTTCCCAGCTGTTTACCTTCACAGACATAACCCACTGTTTTTGCAACTTGTGTGTTTTTAACGTAAACGTGTGTGAATGAGAACTTAGTTTAGTACTCGCATGCTGTGACGTGTGCGTGTTTCTGTGCGTGTGCTTCGGATGTGTGCGCTCAGAAAACCGTTTATCTGAAGTTTAAACCCATATGATTTAAAACGCATGATTTCAGCGCGATAAACATAATCAGAACCAAAACACATGTTTTTAGCAGGTCCGAGCTATAATGGCGCAGCCCTATTCTGGAAAAGGAGGCGGGGAGCAGCAGCTCTTTTGCATTTAAAGAGACAGGCCCGAAAAACAGCGTGTTTCTGCTTCCACTCAAAACAGGCATTTTCAAAATGATATAATAAATTATCTGTGGAGTATTTTGAGCTGAAACTTCACAGACACATTCTGGGGACACCTGAGACTTATATTACATATTGTAAAAAGGGGCATAATATGTCTCCTTTAAAGATATATATTGTACTTGAAATCTACAGACACAAATAGATAGTGTAATAAAATAAACACTCAAATGTGTATTTTGGATGCTTTCTTTCTGCTAGTATGAAAAGAAAACAGATTATGGAAGCAAAATAGACCAAAATCTCAAAATTGACCAGCGCCTGAAAAAACAATGGTTTTGCCTGCAGTGTCTTGCCTTAAAGGAACACTCCACTGTTTTTGGAAATAGGCTCATTTTCCGACTCCCCTAGAGTTAAACAGTTGAGTTTTACCGTTTTCGAATCCATTCAGCCGATCTCCGGGTCTGGCGGTAGCACTTTTAGCTGTAGCTTAGCATAGATCATTG